ATACGAGATGAGATGATATAATTAGATAAGGATATAAAGTCTCTAGAAACTTGTGAAAAACTTTAACATAAAATAATTTACAAAATGTTAAACTGCAAACTTACGCACTTGTAGAAACGACTTTTCACCTATAGTTAAAATGGATTAATTGCAAAAAGATGATAATAATAATGCAATATTCTACCACAATTACACAACGCTATTTGGTCCCAAACTAAGCAGGGCTTATATTATTGTTATAAACACGTATACACTTTTTTTTGTAAATACATATATATTATACATAGATACACCCAGAACAAATCAAACAATAAATTTTCATGCACATAAATGTTCGAATTGAGCGGGAATAGAACCAGCAACCTTTGGCGTAGCAGTCCGTTACACAAACCGCTACGCCATTCGACCGTCAAACATCAAAGATGACACGTGAAAGAGTGTAACAAAGTTCTTGGAGTGTCGTTCCAAACCAACTAAGATTTCAATTGAACTAGCGCTATGAATCTTACCCAAAAAGTCGTATAAATAGTCATCACACTTAGTCGAGCGGTCCACTGCAGTTCCTGGCACGTCCAGCGCATCAAATTACACGTCTGCAGCCATACGGATAATTTTACTGGTAGTTTGGCGTCGCGTGTAAAGTGTCCATGAGTTATAAAAGTGTTTTTCTAGGGTCAATACCGTAAGAGGCATTTCGACCGAATAAAAAAATGTAGAAAGTAAGATCCTTAGAAAAAACCTCTTCCTACTAATAATATGGTACTGTTTTCTAATAGTAAGAAGGTTATTTGTCCTCAAGTGAAATAACTAAAGTGACGAATGTTCCATAGGCCCTAATACCGTTTAATACTATGGCTGACTGCCATGCGGAAAACTTGCCGGAAGGCATAAAAACGGCATTACGGAAACTAAATAACATATATTATTATTACTATTACCAAACACTTCAATTAGCAGCAGCTGTTGTGTATAGAACAATGTAAAGTAATTCTACATGTTAACAGGTACAGAAAAGCGTAAAACAATACTCAATTAGTTAACAGATTTATGTCGTAAGTATTGTTTTACACAAACAATACTTAAAAATTGGTTCTCAAATAACTTTATTCTAATAGAATAAAACTAAACCTGTTGGCTGGAAGACACTAAAACAAAATAAACGATATAACAGAAAAGAAACAAATGTGCACATATAACGAAATTGAATTTCATTGAAAAGATACGGACAAAGATTTTCAGATTCCCCAGGGCCGGATTTAGAGAAATTCTTAAAGTGGCTTACAGTCCGCGATTGCGTGTGATAGGCAAATCCTACGTTCATCTTCTGAGGAACATAAAATAGCCTTAAATACGAACACATTTGTTGTAAATCTATCTCACAGATTTGAAATAACATTCATTAAAATTTCATAATATTGACAAAAAAGGTTTTTTAACCATCTATCTATCTAAGCAGCCTATTGAACCCACTGCTGGGTATAGGCCTCTTTTCTATCACACCACTCCTGGTAGTTTTGTGCCAGCTGAATCCATTGCTCCCTACCTCTCTCACAATGTCGTCTGACCATCGGACATCGGCTCTGCCTCGAGGCCGCCGCATATCTCTTGGCCACCATTCGGTAACTACCTTAGTCCATCAGTCGTCGTCCCGTCTGGCTAAGTGCCGTACCCATCTCCACTTGATCCTCGCAATCATACGGACCCACATTCTCGACTTTGGTGTGGCGTCGAATTTCGAGGTTTGGTATACGGTCCACGAGGTGGATACCTGAAATATTTTTTTGGCAGAAATAATCAAATTAGTGAACGTTCATGTACTGTTTCGTTTCATAAAGTAAGTAATTTACTGGCCAATAAAAGATATTAACCTGATTGTTTGTAATGTGTTTTTATATAATTGCATAATTTTAATTTGGGGTCATTATCTCTGACTCAACTATTCATTACAAGATGAGAATCTTGGAGAATTTACATAAGTTTTATGAAAAGCACACACACTGTAGTGCTAATTGGTAAGACATGTTGATGATATTTGTGATGACAGATATACAATTCTCATATATTGGTAGAAATCTGTTTTCTTTTACTGTTGACTAATGTAATGATGTACTGTTGTATGTTAAAGTACGAACTTTCATCAAGAACTTACGTAAGTTTCCATAGTAATTTTCTAAAATATGTGTATTTAAAATGCCCCAAAATGTAGCTTTTTACTTCTGTTAATATATATTTTTATTTTCACCGTTTACTAATTGCTTACAGATTACTAACTAATTTAACAAAAACAGGTTCAGAGTAGTTTCCACAACCGGATCACATTTTGCAAATCATCACAAAAATGCATTCGTCTGTCAAGAAAAACGTGCATTCATAAAAATTAATTATAAGTTGTCTGTAAGTAAATTAATAACGAAGAATATATTTTCCATCAATATCCACATCGACGTAATGCAAAAAAAAAACTAATACACTTAAATGATATTATATTTATAGTAATAATCTTTACAACACATAAAACGTTATTATTGAAATGCTAATAAGAATATACGAAGTTCAGAATTGGAACTACTAACTCTCCCGTCCGTCTATCTCTCAACGCCTTAATATTACCTGTTCTTTGCATTTTCAATATTTTATACTTTGTAGAGGGTGAAATTCTATAAATAATTTTTGTTCAATATTTTTTTGTCTTTGTTCCGTATCAAACAACTACAACTAATATTGTTATGTGGACGAAAGTATTATATAACAAGAACTTTTAATATAAATTAAAGTTATAATAGCGATTAATCATTGTAATAATAAAAGTCATACGCGGGTTAAAGTTAATTAATATTAAACCGTGTATGAAATAATTTGTGTACACCAAAGAAATTGCTGGTATCGCTTTGTCCAGGTGGGTTTCCCATAAATTAGGGTTAAAATATTAATCGCTTTTGTGGTTTGGGCTATAAACAAGGCGAGGCGCGGGTAGTTGTATACCAAGGGCATTAATTTGTTATCATATTGTTTCTCAAATCGTTATATTTAACGGTGTTTTAAGATAAGTATTTAAAAATTTTAGTTCGTTCTTCCGGCTCTTAGCTCCAACGTCATGATATATGTTCAACAAAGGAAAATTGACGATTAATATTGATAGTTGTATTCAAATATAGTTCTATGCTAATTAATAATTTAAGTAGCAATGAAACTGCTTTCAAACCTGAACTTACAAAACTTTTCTAAGTGTGTAATGATAAAAGTTTAGATTTGTAATCAGAATTTACAATACTATGTTTGAGCTTTTCTTTTTAGCTTAAAATTTCTTTTGTCGTCACTTACATGTGTGGGCGAAATTTCATTTAATTTAAATGTCACGAAATAAGCGACTTAAATTTATTACTTTAATTTGTTTACAGAAGAAGTAAATGTACAGAAACGAGGCATCACATGTTTATTAACGGTTAAATTTTGTTCTTCTTAACTCTCTTAATACCAGAGAAACTCTTTTCCATATCTCCAAGGAAGTGTGGTAACCTTAGCCGCCTAATAGAATAATTCGACTGTTTTATGAAGGTACCTACACTTCCTTACCTACACAACAAGATAAATGTTGTATTTAAAAAAACAAACATTCATTCTTAATTTTGTAGGTAAACCAAACAATCTTTGGTTACAACAGTCTCAGAATCAAAACTCAATTATTGTAAACAATATCTTCAGTTTGAATTTTACAAGAGTTCCTTTCTTGAGCTGTATTGTTTTTAATTGAAGCGGAGTAAATTGAGACAGAAATTGGTACCCGTGCCGGGGCCAGGTAACGAAGGGCTGGATTTTAATTTTCTTCGTAATTTTCTTTAAGTTTCGTTTATATTGCTTCTAAACAAACAACTTTTTGTACCAAATTGTAAGCGATATACAATTCCTATACATATACATTGTTTTGTTCAACGTCTCTAATTTGTTTTGTTTTGCTTGTCAAATACTTGATAAAAACGCATTACAAGCAGTAGAATTTAATTTGTAACAGTAATAGACGTTAAATCGTCTTTGTTACTCCCTTCGAAACGAGTTTAAGTAAATCATGTTTTGATTGAATCGAGCTACATCGATTTTCAATTATTGTATATCACATCACATCACATCAACAGCCTGTAATAGTCCACTGCTGGACATAGGCCTATCCCTAGATAGGAGGTTTTAGCCTACTATACCACGCTGGCCAGACGGGTTATTGTATATATTTGTCCCTAAATATGCAACAAGTGTGAAAAGGTTATATAACAACTAACAACATTTGGACTTTAATACGTCCGCTATTGTACTTAGGCCTCACACATATACTCGTAAGTACCTTCACAGTATTCATCTATAAAGTGTTTATTTTATTGTTGTGTGTTTAGTTTATTGTCTTTGAATATATTTTTTTCGTATTTCAGACAAGGGATTTTTGTACATTAAAATGACGATGTCAATCCCATAGTACCTTATTATAAGCTAACTGCTACATAATATTGTTATAACTACTTAAAACTAAATTATAAAGCATTTTAATATACCTGAATCTTTGAGTTCATTTGATATTTTATTTGAGTTAATTTCATGTTTAATTTTATAACCTTCTTCTCGATCATTAGAATTAATTCTTGATTAATTCGTACGTTATATTGAATAATGCGTAGTTCCCTCTGGAGGCTGATTATCCAGAACACAACATACACTATATGCACTTACTTAAACGAATTCTTATCTGCATTAGAAGTAGGCTTTTTTTGATAGTCCAGACCAAAGTAATACTCGTAATAGTTTCTACTATCATAGCTTGACCAGTTGTCCAGTGTTGTCACCAGTGTAAAAGAAAATAACTGCCATTAAAAACAACATTTTAATATTTTCTACATTTATTTAGTTTAGAATTAAAGAACAGTATGATCGAAATGAATATTAGGTTACTACATTAACATGTTTTATAATAAATATAATGGTTTTGTCTAGGTCAGGTTATATACACATATGTTATTCTATTCTAGAGGCTCCATGTTGTCTCTCAGAGGGCTTTCAGTACTGAAACAAACATTTGAAACATTTTAGTTGGTATTTTCATTGCGTCGTGGGAGAGCCATGTTTGGGCACGTGTGGGGAGTAATACCACGCATTCACAGAAAACTTGTGTAACGCATCTTTTCCTTTAATTGCGCTCAGTGAATGAGGTAACTGGAGCGCCATCCCCCCTTCATTCTGGGGTAGAAGGCACTCAAAAGGCGGTAAAACATTTATGTCTCTTGAGTTGCGTTAGTTCATGGGCGGCGCTAGTCACTTATCTACACATCACGCTCACTTCACATATAAGTGCAAACGAGCCCACTATAAAAAAGTTGATATTTTCAGTTTTAATTAAGTACATATTGTCAACCTTATGATAAAAGTGATATTATTTTAAAGGTATTCTATTTCAATAACTAACTATAAAATGTATATTATTATCAGTAAATTGTTTTTTAAGTTTAGATTGTAATACAATTCTTTTTGAACTAGTTTTTAGTACGTGATTATAGCTGCCTATAGACACTTACTTCTTAAAAAACACAAATGCGTTATTGCCCTTTCAGGGCCCCTTCCCAATTAAAGGGGGAGGGTCCGTTGTTCTTCAATAACCTCACTTATTCGGTGAAAAATAACTAAAGAATTTCTCAACATAAGTTTTCTGTGAGGGTCTGGTATAATCCCGACCGAGTTCGGCAAACCTCGCATTAGTGTTCATTAGTGTCAGTTATGATTTTGAAACATATATCTAATAACTACTATTTCAATATTAAATGAAATTGCTAGTCGAAATTAAACGCTGAAATACGGACCAAAGTTTGGAAAACTTTAGTAGCACCGTAGTAGAACTTCAAAGTGTTTGTTGCTTTTACAAATTAAAATTTTCAAAGGAATGTTCTTATAACTATTTTAAGTATGTCTTTTGACATCAAGTATGTTCAACCGATATGAAGGTATTACATAATTATATTGATATTGAAATTTTCTTTAAAAATTTAAGAAATTCTCTTAGGCCTGTTAAATATAGACCTCTCCTGGAAACAAAGAGCTGTCTGATAATATCATAAAGCAAAATTAATGTATACATGATTCATAATAGCAGCAAAAACAAAGGACATTCAATAACATACTATGCAATAAATTACAACAAATGCAACAAAACAACGTAATTATGAAAAATTACGTATACCATATATATATTCAAAAATGAACAAAATTACCTATCACCACCATTCCTGTTAGCCGTAAGGACAATAGTGCCCTTCATCCCTGCAATATACACGATCAAATATAAGAACGATCAAAAGTGTTCGATTATAAATAATAACGATCAAAAGTGTTCGATTATAAATAATTACGATCAAAAGTGTTCGATTATAAATAATTACGATCAAAAGTGTTCGATTATAAATAATTACGATCAAAGGTGTTCGATTATAAATAATTACGATCAAAAGTGTACGATTATAAATAATTACGATCACAAGTGTTCGATTATAAATAATTACGATCAAAAGTGTTCGATTATAAATAATAACGATCAAAAAATTATTAAAAATTAAAACGTACTACTTCATATAAATACAGTTTATGGTATCGTGTTTACACCGCTACTACATTAGATGCTGAGAAACCTTAAACAATATTCATAAGTCACATAAATGACAATACAAGACTAGAACTGATAGCGAACCCTAACGTTAAAGGCGGTTACAGTTGATAAGGTTATTTTACACCCAAATCATGTGAATATATTGTCTAAAAGCAGTTTGCCTGACGTAGACCTTACGCTTTACAGACTTTTTACAATGCTATGTCTATTTATTTATTTTATTTTCGACGGTCACTGTGTCAGAGTTTGTTTAAACTGACTTATATAATTTATTTTACAACTTTGTTACTAGATTTATTAAAAATATATGGATTGTTAGTTTATAATGAACAATTGAAAAATGATACAGAGCAGATGGGTCACTCCTTTCTAATATTAATAATATAAGATAAACAATTCCTATACATATGATATCTCAAACATGGGTAACATAAGTTATAAAACCTTCAAGATTTTGTGGCTAAAATATAACTTTTCTTATTTCCAAATCGATTAAAACTGCGTCTTAAAAAATCGATGATGATTGTTTTGAGATTTATGGAATTGTATACGTATAAAAAACAGTTCCGAAAACAAAAAGCTGTAATTATTATTTAGTTATTATTTTATTTGTGTGATGAGTTGAACTGCCTACCCCGCTCGCTGCCGTTTCCGCTCATTACATAATATAGTATATAGGGGCATAAGTGTATCCATGTCCATCAGTCTGTATGTTAATTTTTAACATATATGTAATGCCAAAATAAAATGTTTTATAATAAGTTTAGTTAATGGTGTTATTGAACCTCAGTTGTAGATTTAAAAATACAAAGTAGGGATGACAAAAAAACCTTTTTCCCCTGTAATAAATCATATGATTTCTAAATATAGTCACACCTGTAACTAATTGCGGCTTATGCCACTGCGGCTTATTATTATTACGTTAGCTCTAGACTCGCGAAAGGTATAAATCTAAATAAAACGGCCCTAATATTTGATAAAAAGAATTTTTATTGAAGTAATCACAGGTAAAATAACTGTGACTTCAACCAATCATGTCATCATATGGATATCATTTAAAAGGTGCAATAATTTCCATGCATACTACAAAGTGAAAATCGTATGAAAATGAGACCCGAAATTATGGCTCTCGAATGTGTTTCACCTGCTCATACCGTTCGTTCATAAATCAAGTATATCATAAATAAGTTAATATAGATAATAGTATTTTATAAGTAAAAGCCAGATGAAAAACCAAAAGCCTTTATCAGATGCAGCCGTGCCAGAACTAGAAACTTAAAATGATTTATTAAGTATCTTACATGTCATAAGGATGTTTTCCTTGCATGATTAGAGATATAGCCGTTCTGGAACTTCTCTTGCCTAATCCTTCTCCCGCCTCGTCTGCCCAAAACTCTTTACTTAGCAGGTGATCTGTAAAGAGAACAGAAAAAAGAAAAATCATCAAAGTACTACTGTCTACGTGATAGTGATAACAGTCTATATTTTTACATTCGTAGGTTGAATTAACAAACGTAGTGTAGGACGTCCACAGGCCAGGTGGAGTGACGATTTGCGCAACATGGCTGGCAGGAACTGGATGCGTGAAGCTCAAAATCGATCTAAGTGGCGTGCAATGGAAGAGGTCTATGTCCAGCAGTGGACTGCGATAAGCTGATGATGATGATGAGATTGAATTATCTTTCTCTTTTATTGAGGGTTTTTTATTGGCCTCGTTATTCATTTTCATTGCCGTTTTTTGATATTATAGGGGCAAACTGAGAGTACGTGAGGCAAGAGGCAAAAGTGCGCTGGCTGCTTTTGAGTCTCAGGGAAATAGAGGTTTGAGGCTCCAGTGACCTCATTCACTCGATGAAAAGCAACATAAGAAGCGGTTTTCTGTGAGGCCATGTCTCACTCCGGTCGAGTCAGCCCATTTTAGAAATAATGTTTTAGCCTCACCCATCCTACTTTGTATTTAAGTGATAATAATTATTTAAGACAACATAACTTACTTTTGAATGCATTCCCTGTTCTCTTTCTGTACTCTTGCTCTACTGCTGGCAGTAATCCTGGATAAAGCTGCAAGGGAGCTCGATCTGGAATAAGAAGTTCTGACATTTTAAATATCATAGTTTTATACTATTATATTTACCTGCCGCAAATTGGTCCTGAAGATATGGCGTGTAGCAGTAAGCGTGCTACAAGCAAAGCGCGTAGCAGTAAATGGGCTTTTTAGATGCGCGTTATTCAACTGTTTTTTAAGTTTTCAACTTAAGCTTGTAAATGTTCATTCTTTAGGGCAGTATCGTATAATCAAGCCGGCCGAACAACAATGTGTAGTTCCAATACTTCTTTCTTTCTTTTATTTTACAACTCCCGCACTAGGAATATATTCTGTGTCGCGAGGGACTTTAAAAACATACATGAAAAGGACCCAAAGAACACCTAAACGCAGAACGACAATTTGTAGATCACACAAAGTGTCGTCCCATGTGAGGGATCGAATCCACAACACAGAGCGTAATAAGAGGCGTGGCTATCACTCTAACCAGTACGCCAGTGCAGTCAATACTATGGCTTGTAAATTAAAGAGAATAATGAATTTATTTTCTATTTCAGCAAGAACCAAACTAACAATGTGCTTGTAAACAATTAGCTTTGAGGTCAAAGTATACGAAAGCACACAAATGAAACATTGAAACACTATTTTATGTCTCATTTGTAACCAAATCGAAATCGTTGGGTGGATCGTTGGGTGGTAAATCAAATCGTCTCACTCGTACAGAATTGCCATGAAGGCGCCCTGATTTTATCCATAATTTTTCTCTATTTCATGAGGGATTAATAAGTGTGTGCTGACATCTGTCTTTTTTTAACATGTGGAAAACTCCTTTGGACTCCACCTGCAGCCGCTGAAATAGTTATGTCTGAATCGAGCCAATTTGATAGGAGCTTATACATAACCTAAGAACGTTCTTCTTTGGACTCAACAACAACAACAAATAATCCAACAGTTAATACAATTGGTACCCTCGACTTAACTCTTAAGTCTCGAAGTCGAGAGCGTGAGCCATCTCCCCTATAAATTAAAAAGAACTTACTACTAACTCTTACTCTTACTAAACATTAGCAGATATCCTCCTCTCTACCTTTGAGAATATACTGAACAAAATGCAATTAACTTCAGTATACGAGAATAATGATTCATTTATTAATTTCAATAGAGAATAATTAATTCCGACGAAATGGTCTCACAATGAATGATTTACTTTTTTATGGAAAATACCAATTACATGTAATCGATACAACAAAACAATATAATACATCAGGTGACATCACACCAATATCACAGGACGTATTTTATTAAAAAGTATTGATTTTTAGCACATCTGTGGCTGTCACCGATACATATACAACCCCGTAACACCCTTTCGTGGGTTCGATTACTACTCGCTGCAAAGATTTTAAGCATAATTATGTTGTTGTTGTTTAAGTTGTTAAAAAAGACAACTCCAGCAGTAGTTATATATCCTGTGTCACGGGGAACTTTACCAACACTTCTGATATGAGTACAAAAAACACCCTAACTTAGAACAACTATAATTTTTGGATTACACAAAGTTGTGTAATCGGCGAGGTGACCGTTTTAACCATTTCGCAATCCGTTCAGTTAAATTATGTTTGCTTGTATTGGTTTGCGTATTTCCATACGTAACGTATATTTTAAACGCATTCTAAATTTTAATCATGACACTCTAAAATTTCGAAACGAGCCATGTAAAAACTTTCTGAGATGACTTTTCAATTTGTGAGATATCATTACAATGAATATAGGCTTGGTTCATTCAGTCGTGTATTCTTTGATTATCTTTCGCCAAAATTATGTTGTGCTTGCCAACTCATTATAAACTTTCGTTAAACTAGCCTAAACAATAAAGTACTTAAGTTTTACGCAGGCGTGATTCAATTAATTGAATTTGGAGTTAATTAATTGTAATATTAAATAAAACAGAGCTGTAAATATTTATAAAACAGCTTACTCGTGTTGTCACTTTTTTAAGTAGAACGACACTTTAAATTATAGATACTACTAGTTACTCTAGCTATTTCTAGACCTAATAATAGATACAGCTATATATACAGCATATATATATATATATATTTAATTATATATAATATATATTTTTAATAATAATAATATATAATATATATAATTTAAAGTGATGCCACTCGTTCTACTTAAAAAAGTGACAACACGAGTAAGCTGTTTTATAAGCATAAACGGTCGTAGTATACTACATTTTAAAGAATATACCGTCCATTAAAAAAATATATTATAACAATACAAAAGTAAAGGATATAAATTATGCAAAACTAATACAATAACTACTAGATTTAGTTATTTAAATACTAAAGAGACATCTTTTTTTAGTAAATGAGTACATTTTACACGTATGTATAGAAACACTAAGTTCTAATGAAAATATTTGAATTGAACGAGAATGGAACGAAACATCTCGTCGCAGTGCACTGTAGTATACTTACATAGCATACGTTCTGATGGTCCTGGACCGTCAGCGTCCTCGGAGCGTGCCCTTAAGTAATCTATAAGCAGACGTACTGTAATTAACCAATTATCATTGAAACCTAAAACTTAATTTTAATTTAGGCAGCCTTTAGGATTAAACAATATTCCAGAGTTCAGAAACCAGTTTTTATCCTTTTCTTGATAAGGATCCTTGGCTATTCTTGGACCCAATCTTACTAAATACTATGATATAGTATACACTATGACTTAAAGAAAGGATTGCATTGGCTGAATTCATTGCAACAAATTAGTCTTATATTCTTGGTTTCAAACTTACTAAATACTAAGTACCATATCTATACACTCTCACACGATAACGAAAGGGTTCCATTGGTTGAATTCGTTGCGACAAATTATTATTGATTATCGTTTTGAATCCACAGTTTGAACTTTTTTTATATACATAGGGCAAACGGGTCACCTGATGGTAAGTAACTACCGACACAAATTCTTTTTTTTTCTTTAAAAAAGACGACTCAACGACGAGCAATATTTCTCGTGTCGCGGGGGGCTCTACGAACATGCGTGAAACAGACACAAGATCACCCAGACTCTGAACAATAATTCCTGGATCACACGGCAGGAAGCGGCGAGGTGACCGTTTAAACCAAGAACACATAGAGTCACGGCACCAATGGACACCTTCTTCTTTTAAGAAGGTTATAAGGTCGTACTGATAGAAGGCAGTTTCTGTAAAAGTGCAAACGACAGTCCTGATACATCTACATATGTTGAGAATTCTATGCCCTCTCGTGGATCTCTAAGGTCCCTCACTGGCAAAATAAAAACAACACTAAGCTCGCAATTTTGACAGTAAATTTTTCTATAAAAATCTACTATTCAAATCCTACGTACATACTTAGGCAGATTAAATAAAATTTAAAACAGTTACCTCATAAATGTTGGTATAAAAATAACGTTTTAGGCTCTCGACGGGCTCGGACGAATGAAGATATTAAAAATCTACATTATTTTTATTTCGAATTCCTTTTTATACAACGATGTTGAAAGGCTGTCTTTGAAAGCATAATAAACCTTTCCTTTTTTTTGCCGACGAATGATGAAAGTGATTAAAGACGCCCAAACGGAATAATCGCAGTAATTAAACTTAACCTACTTTGGAATACGAATTCTAAGTTTTAGTTCAAATAAATAAAGATAGTAATTAATCTATTAGTTCTTTTGTATTCTAAATATGATCACTGTAGTCATATTCAAGCGAGACATCGAAATGATAGATACGAGAATCTAAGAGAATTCTAGTTAACTATAGGTAAACAAGAGTTAACTTTTGTTTCGGATCAGTTCATGCCAAATATAAGTAGGAATTCAATGAGACTGAATTCAGAAGAGACATGGCTCCGAAGCGTTACATTAACTAGTGAATATAATTTATAAATTAGAACTAATACGATTCCAACTTATGAGTCGATGTATAACTAAACAGATAAACAAACAATTCTAGGTATCTTTTTAATAACCTACGTATGAAACACATTTGAATATCAAGAAAAGAGTTGTTTAAAAATCACAGAAAAATAATTTTGTAAAATATAAACTTTACATACAGTAAGAGAGCACCTTAGCCACTAAAAAATGCTTTAAAAACTTACATAAACCACTAGGTACGAATACCAACAGAAAAAAAAAACAAAAAAAACACAGGCAGTTACACAAGCTAACAAACTTTTTACCTTTATACAGATTAAAGCCGTCTTTCCCCATCTCAGAGGTTTTCGCGAATGGGGCCACGGTAAGAAGCGCAAGAATTGATATTAATGCCTCCCGCATTTTTGTGATCAGTTTATTGAGACTAATGAGCTAGCAGAACAAAAAGGCTCGACCTGAGGCTTATAGATGTGCGGCTCAACTGCCAGCTTAAACCAATCTGACCCTTTTTATAATTTCTATCCGATATAGGTTAGCGAGCAGAGATCAGTGGTGGAAATGACGGAGAGTGCTGGTTCGATTGTGCGGCCGTTTCAGCACTTTATTTAAAGATACCAAAGTAGTTATGGTCGGAAAGCTTTTCAAAGCAATATTTTTTATTGTGTTATAGGAATTATTACTTAACGATGCTTTGACGTCATGGTTTAATGTTAAATAAGAAAATTACATTAAACTTTTTTTTTCTTTTTTTTAGTCTTATAAATTTAGTACTTAGTCTTAATACTTCATTCCGTTCAATAATTTTTTGATCAAATTATTAAAGTGACAAAAAACATTTATATCTGAGGAGCTGAAGTACCTAATTAACTAAATTATACAAGACATTAAAAAAAACACGTCAAACGAGCAGACGTAAATGCTAGGCGAGAGAACGCTCTTTTCTTGAAAATTTGGAGATCTTTCCGTTTGGTGGTTTTTACGAGAATAATATAGGCGATAATTACTACAAATACACGCAGAGTTTAATGTAGTTTTAGTAGCAGTTGTGATTAAAAGTTTTTCTTTGTGCTGATTTTTATGATCCGAAATGATATTTTAAAACCACCATTCCCTGCAGTTTTATATCATAGCTTGATACTACACAACAACAATACATATTTTTTTTTACAAATTTTTATTTGTATTAAATTATATTTTTTTGCCAATGAGACGTAGTAGATGAACGTAATAAAGTTAAATCATTATCTGTCCTAACTACTTTCGAAAGTTGACTTGTATATTATCGCTAATTATCGACAACTTTGTAAGAAAGTATAAAATGTATTTTTTTCTCTTTTGAGCTATTACGTCTATAAGTATGCTGCTATATTCTGCTGAAAATTGTTACGGCTGATATGTTTATTCAACTTATAATTCGGGAAATCTGATATACTATACTATATATATCATCATGAAGCCAATTCGGACAGATAAAGATGCGAAAATGTTACAGGAAGATATAAACAGACTATCAAATTGGTGTAAAGAAAATAAAATGCAATTAAACACAAGCAAATGTTATTACATTCAATTCACCCGAAATAAACACATACTAAATAATAGCTACAATATTGAAGGTGTCCCAATAAACAAGGTTAATGTTATTCGCGATTTAGGAGTTCTACTGGACAGTGCACTCAAATTCGATGCTCATATATTACACACCGTTGCAAGGGCGTTTAAGGTACTGGGCTTCGTCTTAAGAAATTGTAAAGGTTTCAAAAAATCTTTTACTAAAATACAGCTATTTAATTCACTCGTACGGCCCATCTTGGAGTATGGCTCAGTAATATGGAATCCACATTACGAAGTATATACGAAACGATTAGAGAGTGTGCAGAGGCGCTTCCTCTACCATTTATGCTATGGAGACCATTTAGCAAAAGAAACTTTAAGTTATACATCACGGTTAACGCGTTATAATTTAAAAACCTTAGCGAGCCGCAGAATGAAACTTGATTCCATATTTCTACATAAAATACTAAGTGGTTCCACGGACTGTAGTGAGTTACTAAGCGCCTTAAGCATAAAAATACCTTTGCGTCTTCCAAGAAAAAGCAATTATAATTTATTTGAAATTCCATTTTCGAGAACTAATCTGGGTCATTACGCTGCTGTGCCGAGGATTTGTAGGCTGTACAACACTTTATCAAAAGCTCATGATATCGATATTTGCGAATCCTTGCCCCAATTTAAAAGACACTTGCAAAAAATTCTTTAAGGTTCTCATTTATTGTTGTTTTTCTTTTTTTTTTAATTTTAATGTTTGTCTGTTTATTTGTATTCAGACAGAAAGAAAGAAAAAATTTTTAATATTTTGTCATATTTAATGTTATTTAGGAGGTTTTCTCACTATGTTACTTTTGAATTAGTTTTGTATTAGGTATAAGTTTGGATATTCTATTGCATGCTGTGGTCTCCTATAACTGAAGGAGTACACTATTCAAAAAACTAAGTGTGTATTATATGTACTTCTGTGTATATCCTTTGTTGGAGATCCAATAAATAAATAAATAAATAAAAATAAATAAATAAATTGGTTTTTTGAAAACAATATCTTGATAAATTAAGTTTCAAAATCTATTACAATAGCTAACTTCTATAGTACAATAAAATTATAATTTCCTGCACATACAATATCGTTACAATTTCACCTTTCATTAAGTACGACTTCCATAAGGTGACCCGTCTGCTCCTTTGCCTTTTAGATACAATCAAATTCACTCATACAATATTTTCTAAAATTAAAAACATTTTTTAAAACTTAATATAAAATCTATAAGTGAAGCTACCTGAAAGGAAAATAGTCTTCTTATAAAACTGGCTATGACATGTCGTGGGAAGGGCCAGCCCCTACTATATTACGCAACTAAGTTGTAGCTGGCTCTTGTCTAACGGGATTTACCGGGACACACTATATTTTCCAGAACCGTCAAGGTTTTAAGATTATAGGCTCTACATTTTCTTTTCATTGATACTATTTATCTTAACATTACGAAAGTTTGTTTAAAAACTTGGAGTTATCAAATGATACATTACAAAAAAAAACTATTAAAAACCTAATTCTATTTTTCAGCAGTAACTTTTAAATATCTATTTGTCCTTTTGAATACTTTCAATTTTTAATGATTTTCAAGATTTAAAATGGCTGCTTTCTATACCCAGCATAGTATTAGGTATAATTATGCTTTACTAGAAATGATATCATCTTTAGCAAAATATTATAGAAAAAACTATTTCATTGAAATTCATTCTCTATAACTGGGTACCGTCACGTTTCATTTATAAATACTGATTACAGTAATAATCATGTGACATTGTTAAAAAATGTAAAATACTAAAATTTGTAAGAAGGGAATATGGATAAGCGGTATAATACATACAAATTCTCATTGGCAGTTCCATGAAAGGGTGAGCAAAGGGACCATGCAATGGGACCACATAAGGGACCATATTTTGCCAATTATAATTTTAGTCCCACAGATAGGAGGCAAAACTATTGCCGTTAATCCAGCACTTTCAGGATTAGATAAGAGAATTGGCAGTAGGTATATTGTAATTAAAGACAGAGAAGGACGGAAAACCACGGTAAAAAAGGTATAGTGCTTATACGTATTGAGGAATGTAAGAAACAGGTCGAGCAGCTCAAGGGCGGAAACCTGTAACTGGAATTGGCTATTACCAAAAAGAAAGCCCTCTAACTCATATGATATGATGGTATACTGTAATGTTAATGACTATTGAAATATTTAAAAAACATCGAAATTTTAAGTATTATCATCCCGTACTCAAATCTCAACGCCGGTACATCCCTAGCTTCCAGAGCCGACAGCACGGTTGGGTGCCGCGACCCACAATCTTATGCAAATGGCGGGTGAGACACAACCCAGATATTTTTACAATATAAGGATGATTGTTGCGATTCTAATGCGGACCTGCGAATGAAGGATAGTAAGGGCTACATTTACGTAAAAGGCTGTGGTAAGTAGGTAGATATGGATTGATATTAATTTAATATATGCAAATTCTGGATTGGTTGAATTTACTTTGCTTATGTAGTTGGTTTTTACGCCTACACAACCCACATAGTACCTAACCTACTATTGATTACTTAATGAATGAGGTAAGAGTGTTGACTTTACACTGAACTCAAATGGTATAGTTCAAACTGTAGTTTGGAATTTTTAACACGAAATGTGATGACTTGATGTCTTTACTTATAATTTTTTAATATAAAATACGATGTTTTCTTGCTACATATACGAGGTCAGTACGGGTAGCCTTAAAAGAAACTAGCCAATAACATTTGCAATGTCACATATTGTGCAGACCCAAAATAAAATTAGGAGCTAATTTACTATTAAATGCAATTTAATGTTATAAATTGTATTTTCTTAATCAATAATAATCACTTTATTTCCAACAATATAGTTGAACATATATTTTAGCAACATTAATTGCACATATATTTCTACTTCATAGAAAGAGATACTTTGACAAAAACAGAATGACACTGTCATTGTAATGGTATGTCAAGAATGTAATGTAATCAGAAATTTCAAGAAACGCTGCCAGAAACATTCAAAATAACTTTCTACGTACCTAAACACAAACAAGGTTGTTTGTAGCCTTTTGTGTACCTTATTTATTTCTAGATCAATACTAATCTTTTTTGGAAATATATCTATAGTCTAAAATATATTTTAGCAACATTAATTGCGAATCTAATTCTTCTCATAAAGAGATAGGTACTATTTTTCACAAGCAGTACGTTTATAAAATTAAAAATAAGTACAGATTAGATTATAGTTAATCAGATATATATGTTGGTGTGCAGTTTTAATTACAACTGCGGGTACAATATAATATATAACTACTACTCTTTTCAACTAAACCATTAGTCAAGGCAGCATTACAGCGGCTTTGCTTAAATGCAATGTCAAATATAAGTACAACGCCTTACTCGCCCTTAAACCAGATTAACAAGACCTAGGTTCATATCTAATGTATCTGAAATTGAATTACGAGAAACTGAAGGCCCTTGACGTGCAATTAAAGTATTGAAACTTTGTAGTCTCGGTGTCAGACCCAATTAGGAGCAAATTGGAAATTGCAAACTGATCCAAGACTTTAACCACCTATCAGTTTCATCGATTCAATAAGTTTTGAGAGAAGGGTCCTCACTAGATTTTTCCCTATTAGTTAGTACTACCTTTCTCAGAACATTAACTTATCTCTACTTATTTTAGTAGTGAGATACTAATACTCCTAATAACTGTTTTTATATATTACTTTACTTTAAAAATGAAACCATAGAATCCTAATAAACCCCAGTCGCACTTATTACAATATAATTAACATTG